ATTCTTGCCCTACATACGAAATAAACACGCTAACTTCCTCTGTGCAAATATGTAGTTCATGGAAAACACACTTATATTTATGCAGACAAAATGTCGTCCCTGAAACATATGGCGAGTCTCTGACGACTGGGATCTGGATGAAGTAGTGTCATCGGAGATTAGTTCAGCAGCCGGCAGCTGTATGACTGTTACACGACACCTGCACCGTCGGTGTTGAGTAGCCCTGAAGCGTCTGACCGCCAAACTTGTAAACTTACAGCGGCATTTCGGAAGCAACGTGTATACCCTAATGGCCAACTATATTTTTATGCGGCACTGGTGTCGTGTTGAGGTCAGTTAAAAATTTAAACAAATATGTTCCTGTAAATAAAATGTGAATAAATCACACACACTTATCGTCATTATACGCAACACCGTCATCATTATCATACACACAACACCGTCACCAGCATCATACACACAACACCGTCACACATTACATCGTCACCAGCATCAAACATTACACCGTAACCAGCACCATACACACAACAGCGTCACCAGCATCATACACACCGCCACCATCACACACAACATCGCCATCATTATCCTGCACACATCCACGCCTTCAGACTGAGCCGGAAGTTTCTGAATGATCTGTACATACATACAAACACAAGTTAGAACCGGGTTCACCGTTGCGTCCAAGATTATTCCATTTGTATAGCGACGTGTGTGTGTGTGTGTGTGTGTGTGTGTGTGTGTGTGTGTGTGCTAGTAAGGACTGATGCCGATTTTATAGTGCTAGCCCACTGAGATACCATTATCAGTTTAACACAGAACATTGACTCCGAGCCAACCAGTCCTTGTTTTACCCCCTAATGCCGAACGCCAGACAGGGTAACAACACGTATCATGCAGGTCAGTGTATGTATTAGAGCTATAGAGATTGCTGCACGAGTGTCTGTTAGATTTATCTAACAATTTATCTAACGATTTGTTTCAAAACGTTTCTAACGAACGGAAGCGAGTTTGATCTTGAGTGACACAAGGGTCTTGAGTGACGTCATCCAACGTACTGCTACACTATTCAACGTACTGTTTACTTTCTCATAATACCCGTGAAGATCCGGGGTAGAATAGGTCTTCAGCAACCCATGCTTGCCGTAAAAGGCGACTTTGCTTGTCGTAAGAGGCGACTAACGGGATCGGGTGGTCAGGCTCGCTGACGTGGTTGATACATGTCATCGATCCCAATTGCGTGGATCGATGCTCATGATGTCAATCACTGGATTGTCTGGTCCAGACTCGATTATTTTACAGACCGCCGTCATATAGCTGGAATATTGCTGAGTGCGGCGTTAAACAACAAACCAAACAAAACCCAGAACACATCCATCTGATCGCTCTCACATATTTGTATGTCATCATTAAAGACACAAAGAGAAAAAACTTGTATGTCCGCCAGCAAAGACAATATAGACCCTCATCCATCCGTATGACTGTCAGTACCAGGATGTAATCAGTCGAGCCTGTGGTGACAGATTTGCTGGGCAGAATCTTTATAGAATGAAACACGGTTAAGGCGTGCAATTACCTACAAAACATTAATTATAATAAACACAAAACAGGTATTGGGTTGCCCGACACAGGTTTTTTACCCGCTCAGAGCAGATGATAACTCAACAGCGGTAATGGGGATTGATCATCATCAAAAGTAATATTAAATCAATCGATAATTTCAGGAACGTATCATAGCTTGGCAGTGTCTCCCCCGGGGCATCAACCATGTACGCTAAAACCGAGGTTTCAAATGGAGGCGAGGCCAGGGTCATCAGCAGGAAATGTACAGTGAACTCCATAAAGTAGCTCTCACACTTTGCCGAGGTGGTTGCCGAGCTCTCCCGAGCTTCCCCGAGCCTAACTCGGTTAGGACTCGGGAAGAGACTACATATATACGAGTATCATACGAGTACGCTACGAGTGTGTTAAGAGTCCAACAGGAGCCCAATAGGAGTCTTTTAAGAGTTGCATACGAGCACAACGATCTCGATACGACCTGTACGAGTTTGGTACGACTTTGGTACGAAGTGGCTACGAACTGCTAGATACACTGAACAAAATTAAAAACTTCACAATCCTAAATTTTAACAGTTTGACCAGTTATCATTGTGGGCCCTTATTGTGTATTTAAACAGTAATGGCCACGTATTGTCTTCAGATAACGCCTGTTTTGGTGCAGGTGAATCGATCAAAATCATGTGCACAGCACTATAGTGGCAAAAGTGTTTTTTTACGTGCAACGTGGCCATAATACCGCACGTGTTTTCAGCCATACTTGTAAGCAGTCATTAAAAAAAACAAAAAAACACAAGAAAACAAAAGTCTTTACGGCCATTTGTCATGTCACGCCTTTCAAATGTGCAACGTGAACGTGCCATCGGCATGTTGCAGACGGGAACGTCCGTAGCTGAAGTCGCAAGGACGATGGGTTGTAGTCGACGGACTGTTTATGATTTACAGAGCGGCAAACGGGTACCACCGCTGATCGCCCTCGGCCAGGTCGACCACGTGTGACGTCACATGCAGAGGATCGTCAGATTGTCTTACGTCACCTCCGTAACCAATTTTTGACGGCTACATCAACCAGAAATGAACTTTTTAGGGGTAGACTGAGTGCGCAAACTGTTCGAAACCGTCTGGGAACTGCTCACCTTCAAGCACGACGGCCATACTGCGGGCCGATTCTGACTCAATTACACAGACGTCAACGTCAATTGTGGGCACAGCGACACTTACAATGGAATTGGAATCAAGTCGTCTTCAGTAAGGATAACGATTTAATCTTCGATTTGCTGATGGTAGGGCGAGGGTGTGGAGGCGCCGTCATGAACGTTGCGCCCAGTATTGTGTACAGGAAGTTGACAGATTTCGAGGCAGAAGTGTCATGGCGTGGGGTGCTTTCTTTGGCAATCCGTGGCAACTTCAACGCTGCTGCTTACCGCGACCAGGTACTGGCACCAGAACTTCTGCCTTTTATGGCAGCACATGGGCCCGCTTTGATCTTCCAACACGACAATGCCAGACCCCACACAGCAATTTTGACAAGGAATTTCCGTCAGAATGCGGGAGTCAACGTCATGGACTGGCCGTCAAGGTCTCCCGGCCTCAATCCCATCGAACACGTCTGGGATGCTCTTGGCAGAAGTCTGCGCACTCTCCAGAACCAACCACAGAATGTGCAAGATCTTGGCACCATTTTGCAGCAACAATGGCGTCGTCTTCCCAATCATGTGTTCACAAGCATCACAAGGTCCATGCGGAGGCGTTGTGTGGCAGTTGTCAACGCACATGGTGGCCATACACGCTACTGAACTTGTGTGCCATCAGATTCTCGTGCTTGGGACTTATGATTTAAACTGTTGATGTTATTACCGAATACCGTAGGTGCTTGGAACAAATTATGGTTACCACCGTTAATTAAAATCCTTCTTTGGACATTAATGATTAAAAATTACCTTCTCAGATACATTTGTCCGTTGTATATCATATATGGGATTACTTTTAAAAAAGTGAAGTTTTTAATTTGACTCAGTATAATTCGGCGGGAATTTGTCACATGGATTAACATGGAGGCTCGTATAGCTCTTATTAGACTCGGTCAACTCGGCAATACATTTTGCAGATGATCCTCATACGAGTTCTGTACGAGCACCACGAGGTCGCCACGAGGGTACTACGAGTAGGACGAGTGTGTTACGGGTTTGTTACGAGTTTGTTAAGAGTTTGTTAAGAGTTGGCTGGAGGTTCGAGTGTTTTGAGCAGTTCCAAAACTCTCGTAGATCAGTACGAGATATCCCGAGTTACCCCGAGTTTAGTACGACCTCGCTACGAGCTCCATAGAAGTACTCGGGACGCAACTCGGCAAAATGTGAGAGCCCCTTAAGAGTGAGTGAGTTTGGTTTTATGCCGCTTTTAGAAATATTCCAGCAATGTCACGGCGGGGGACCCCAGAAATGGGCTTCACACAGTGTACCCTTGTCGGGAATTGAACCCGGGTCTTCAGCGTGACGAACGAACGCTTGAACTACTAGGCTTCCCGACCGCCCCTAACTGCAAAAGAAACGTCACTTCATGAAAATAATTCACGAAAGTTTTTCATTCATTGATCAAAGTATTTTGGGGTGGCTTCTCGATTTGACATACGCCCGTATCCAAATTTAATCTTAAAATTAATCAGCCAAAAGGTGACTTAAATACTGATAAGATGAGTCACCAAAACGCATCTTAACAAAGGTCCATGGTTCAAAGTCCTGCATGCTTTCAATGAAAAACAAAATGCGCGTGCGTTTCCTTGTGCCTTTTCTAATAATTGGCAGCCCAATACGTGGCTCCAACATTATTGTATTGTGAGTGAGTTTGATTTAACGCCGCTTTTGGCAATATTCCAGCAATATCACGGCGGGGGGACACCAGAAATGGGCTTCACGCATTGTACCCATGTCGGGAATCGAACCCGGGTCTTCGGCGTGACGAGCGAACGCTTTTACCACTGGGCTACCCGACCGCCCCTCTTGTATTGATACCAGCGCAATGCCGAGACTTTGAGGAATCAGAGAAAGCAGGCTTCAGGAAGATCACATACTGGCCAGACGGCACGAATGGTTGCCAATGCTTTTACAGTCCATGTGAGAAGCATCTAGAGGTTACAGCAACCATACCAGGCCATCAACAGCAAAAGTGACCCCCGCGCAGTGGTAGACCAACGGTAACAACGCCGCGACAGCATCGACAGATTGCGCGTCAACACCTTGCAGGACCGTTTCACCAGGGTGCCGTTGTACAAAACAACCTTAGCGCTAAGGTTACCTTATATCAAGTTTTAACCTTAGGCCTTTACTAAGGTTGACCCCCTGTTGCATGAAACTACCTAAGGCTAAGGTAGCCTTAGTTAAGGTGAAAATTTGAGGTTGGTCAGACCCAACCTTAGCCACGCTAAGGTTGATACTTCATTGAATTTCAACATGGCTACTTTCTTGTTGATGTGTGAGGAAACTGAGAGAAGTTTGAGGAAACAGCGTGTTTTCCGAGATCGCACCTTGCAGCTTGAGACACTGACAGACTTGGACCTGATATCGCGTTATCGACTCACTCGCGAAGCCATTTTCTGTCTCGTTGGCAAAGTTCGTCCTTTGGTCGAAAGACCAACACAGCGTTCGTACGCTATGACAGGGGAATCTCAAGTTTTGTTTCCTCTGAGATATTTAGGAAAAGGGGGATTTCTTCTGAAATTTGAGATTTGCATGGTTTGGATAAATCAAGTGTGTCGAGAGGTTTTCATTCTACGGTAAATGCAATATGCACGGTCTTAGACAATATTACTTTTCCTTGGAGTCACGAGCAGGAAACCAAGGTACAGCAAGCATTCTATAGAATTGGTCATTTCCCAAAAGTTCTTGGTGTCGTCGACGGAACACTTATTCCCATAAAACGACCATCACCAAACGACGAAGCGCCCTACATATGTCGGAAGGGATACCATGCCATCAATGTGCAAGCAATATGCGACAGCTCTCTCCGGTAAGATGTACAGTAGATCCCTAATTTTACAATAAAGATACATTATGTATATTTTGTTTATCGATATCAATCAATAAACGGCAATCAACTTTCAAAGAATAGTGGTAACTGGGCCGTGGTCCGCAAACTACGCTGTACTGTTTACATTAGCAACGACCTTGACCCACAAGCGAGTCGAAACTACTTTCCTGTCAAATGAAACCAGCGTAATTCATTTTACCATAGCTTCATTCAATCCTTTTTTGCTTATCTACATGTAAGTTGCCTTATATTTTATTACCATTTATACAACAATATTTTTAGGATTATTTTCTGAGTGTTACTAGAACTCATTAATTTCAAGACACATGAAATGTAATTTTGTTTCTTTTAACAAACATTGTACTTTTTATTATATAGTGTGTGGTCTTCATTGGACTGATTTGACATGTCAAAAAGTTATGATTACGTATATTAATTTACAAAGTATTCAAAATGTAGGAATATGAGTGTGAATGTAATGAAAGTTATCAAATCCGAAAGATTTAAATTGACTGATAATATTTGATTGTTCATAATATATATTAGATTATCAATACAAAAATATTTTCATTGCTTTAATGGAAACCAAACATCTGTTTAAAGTGGAATTGTTTACTATTACAGCTTTACCAACGTGGTGGCAAAATGGCCAGGATCGACTCACGATTCTTTGATTTGGAGTAGTAGTCAAGTTGGGATGAGGATGGAGGATTTTTTTGGTTTGGTTTGTTGTTTTACGCCGCACTCAGCAATATTCCAGCTATATGACGGCGGTCTGTAAATAATCGAGTCTGGACCAGACAATCCAGTGATTTACATCATGAACATCGATCCACGCAATTGGGATCGATGACATGCATCAACCAAGTCAGCGAGCCTGACCACCCGATCACGTTAGTCGCCTTTTACGACAAGCATAGTCGCCTTTTACGGCAAGCATGGGTTGCTGAAGACCTATTCTACCCCGGTGTCTTCACGGGCCTGAGGATGGAGGAAGCTGCACCCGATGGTTGGCTACTTGGTGACACAGGGTAAACCAGTTGAACCTCATCCATAATGCACTAAATATAGGTACAAAGTTGAGAGTTTTGAAACTAGAATTTATATGAAGGAAAGTGCCACGTTTGTGTAACTATCATTAATATTTCTGATGTTACTATGTAAGGAATTTATATCCTATATTTGTAAACAAATGTTATTTGGCTTCTACTATTTGTACAGATATGCATGCAGACATTGGATGCTAACCCCCTTAGTAGATCCTCCGACGAAGCCTGAACAAAAGTACAATGCAGCCCATATCAGGACAAGAAACACTGTTGAAAGGGCCTTTGGTGTGCTAAAGTCCAGATTCTGGTATAATATCAAAATTACATGTGTCTCGTTTCAGAAATGTAATGGAAAACCAGATCAGGGACTGGTCAGTTATTACAGAGAAGAGAGAGAGAATAGATTAACAATAACATAAAATGCCTTTCTTTAAATTTTGGTGGGATGGTAGGTCCAACATGTTATGCAAACTTCATTGTGAATTATCCATGGTTCAATTTAGGAATAAGAACATTTATGAAGTTTTGAATTGTTTATAAGATATGTGTTTGAAAATTATCATTAATGATATTGTATGAACATAATGTTAATGCTGTAATTGTTGACATTAGTTCATAATTTGTAACAAATACAAGAACTTGATAATATGACATTTTCAGATGTCTCCATAAGTCCACCGGATGTTTATGGTTTAATCCACAAAGATGTGTAGCTGTAATTATGGCTACTTTCAAGCTGCACAACTTCTGCATCGACAACAAGGTTGCACCACCACTAGAGGAAGCAGTGGTTGATCATGTTGATGAAGAAAACAATCCTGTAGTCAGACAGTGTCAGGATGGGTGTGCGACTAGGAGTAAGCTGATTACTGAAAGATTTACATAGGCTGTAAGTAAACAACACAATAAACAACAATTGAATACACATATGTAGTAATTACTAATATGTAATTACAGCTAAACAGCTGGGCAGTGCATGAACATAAATGTATTGGCAGAAAATAACAGGGTTGTATTCAAAGCTTTGCTGTGTGCTACAGGTAATTACATCAAGACAGATAACAATTTTACTGTCTCTATACACAATATGTATTAATATCACTTAATATTTCACCTTTAAACACTAGTCAGATATATCAGCTGGGGTGCTGGCACGGTTAGGAGGATAACATAAAGTTGATGACTGGGGACAAAGTATTTGGAGATCTATTTCCGTGATTCATTAAAAGATGTTGCAAAAGTTCATATTTGGATTTCTCCAGGTCAAGCCTTTCCCTCTGTACAACCAAGTGCTCCTCTGATATGCTGAGCATCCTCTTTTGCACATCTATCAGCTCTTTGAGGGCATCTGCTTTGGCTGTCTCAACATCAATTATTGAGGCAATGTGCTTCGGTGGCTGCTGTGAGTTTTCTTTTAAAATTGTTAGAATATTCAATGTATCATGTATATTATATTATCATGATCAGTATTAATCATTGATGAAAATAATACACTTCATTAAGATAAAAGAATATCATACAGGAAATTAGTAGTTAAAACCCAATATATGACACCACAAAACATTGCTTTTATTGAAATTGTTAAGAATTATCCAAAAATAATATTGGCATGATTATAAAAGACTACACAAAATATATAATAATGTCATACCATATCTTCTTTGTCTGGATCTGTTCATCTTAGTATCCTTGGCTGTAAAAAATCAAGAGATAAGTTAATTATCCACTTATTATCAGCCTGAGTTGATATATGGAGTCATCAGGTGATTGGATATTAAGTATGATTCTATATTATTTTGATTTTTTTTTCAAATAGGCTAGTATTTAAACTTTTACCATTTGTGACTTAAGTATGACTTGTCTCATCTACTCTCATTTCTGCTGATTCCACAGGTTGACTCATTGATGAAGCCTCATCACTGCCAGTGTTCCCACACATTAAGATAGGACCTGCAAGTTTGATGAAATTAGGTTACATCAGTACACATGGTAATTTCATATATCTGAGATTGGTAAACTGTAAGTCTACCAGGTGTTTCAAGGGTCTGTGTCTCTTCACTTGTGATGATTGTATCAAAGAAGTCCACTGTGGCAAGGTCACCTTCATTCAATGCGTTGAGTGTAGGGAAAGCTGAAAATGTTATGAGTTCTTATGAAATAATCATCTATGTCCATGTAAATCAAAACTGTTACCAGTGTTTATTTCAATACTCAGTGTTTGAAAATACATCCAGTTGATGAAAATAGTCAATCAACATGAAAGTTGTTTTGTATTTTGAATATATTGTGAAATTAATTGAAAACAAACACTCACTTTCAGCAGGGGAGATCACTCTCAACCGTAACTACGGACATAATTGGGTCTCCCACACTAAAGAGTTCAACCTTAGTGAAGGTTGCCGCTAAGTATCCTGTCCACGTTAAGGTTGTCCTAAGGTAGTTTTGTGCAACGGGCGTAACTTTTTGATAAGGTTACCTTAATATTAACCTTAGTAACTAAGTTCAACCTTAGTAAAGATTGTTTTGTTCTACGGCACCCAGGGCTACAGAAACTGCAGGTCAAACAGTTGTAACTCACCAGAGACACATCAGTCCTGAGCAGTGCGTCGACGTTTGGCCAACGAATGTCCACTGTCAGTGACGGTACCATGGCCCATTCTCATAGCTCGTCACCACCATGGTCGACTACACAAGGCCATGCAGCATCAAAATTGGCGTTATGGGCAGTAGGGAACTGCTCTGCTCTCGGACGAAAGCCGTGAAGTTTTTCTACGGCAGATTGTTTGGGGTACGCTGTCCAGATGCTTGTGTGATGGAAAGAGACGCATGAGGTGGTCCAAGCATCACGGTATGGGGTGCTATTAATTGCTCCCAATCAGAAAGTTGGTCTTGTGGTGTTACAGCTTATTGTTCCAGGAAGAGGCAATGGTGGCTAAGCTGCCCGCTGGATCGATCAAGTCAACAGATCTCACTTCTTGACACATTTTGGACGTCAGGTTAACCATGCCTTCCACGACAACGCCCGTGCCCACACTGCCAGAGCAACAAACGGCTTCCTGCAACAACTTCGCATCGGAACCAAACCTTGGACTGCACTCAGCCCAGATTTTATCCCCATTGAAAATATGTGGGACGAGGTTCAAAGAAGACAAAATAACATGCGAAGAAGGCCACAACTGCGGGTGAACTTATCCAGGTGTTGTTTAGAGTGTGGGTCCAAGTGCCAATGGCCTTCATCAACAAACTAATTCGCTCCATGTACAGAAGATGTATGGCTGTAATCAACGTGAAGGTACGGGTAGGTAGGTAAGAAAAGGTCCTCAGCAACCCATGCTTGCCGTAAAAGGCGACTATGCTTGTCGTAACAGGCGACTAACGGGATCGGGTGGCTCGCTGACTTGGTTGATGCATGTCATCGATCCCAATTTCGTGGGACCCGTGAAGATTCCGGGGTAGAAAAGGTCTTCAGCAACCCATGCTTTCCGTAAAATGCGACTGTGCTTGTCGTAAAAGGCGACTAACGGGTGGTCAGGCTCGCTGACTTGGTTGATACATGTCACGGTCCCAATTGCCTGGATCGATGCTCATGATATTAATCACTGGATTGTCTGGTCCAGACTCGATTATTTACAGACCGCCGTCATATAGCTCGACTATTGCTGAGTGCGGCGTTAATCAACCAACCAACCAATTGCGTGGATCGATGCTCATGATGTTCATCGCTGGATTGTCTGGTCCAGACTCGAATATTTATAGACCGCCGTCATATGGCTGGAACAAAGCTACCAAAAGATGATGAACACAAATTGGGAAGTAAGATTAAGATGAAACCTTACAGTTGTGATCACCGCATATCAGAGAATGTCAAAGATGTCAAACGTTATCAAAAGCAAATAACAACATGAGAAATCCAAGTCAGTATCGTGTGTGAACACCGCGGGCGTTGATTACTTGGTTTGGTTTGGTTTGTTGTTTTACGCTGCACTCCCAGTGATTGATATCATGAACATCGTTCCACGCAATTAGGATTAATGACATGCATCAACCAAGTCAGCGAGCCTGACCACCCGATCCCGTTAGTCGCCTCTTACGACAAGCATAGTCGCTTTTTTATCATCTTTTGAAATTAAAGACTCTGAATTCTTGTAACGAAGTATCCTTTCTTTTGCGGTTCAGTAGATTTTGCTACGTGTTGATTCCCAAATTGAAACGGGAAGGTAAACGAAGAAATCGGTACGTACAGAACTGAATCATGAAATTAGAACATAACCACACAAGATAAATGAAAAGTTAAAAAATATATATTGCAGACTGAGTTCATAAGTTTAGGTTTACATTCACAAAAGGCAATACAATGGGTTAAAATATGTGACTGCATCAATAAGCAATAGGCCCTATGAGAAAAGTCCGTGCGCTCACGAACGTCCAGCATATGTCACGGCTGAATGTCTTGAATGAGGCACATGCTCTGTTCGAAAGACAGGTCGAAGAAGGAAGGCCTCGAATCACCCTCGTCTAGCACTTTAGTATATTTCCAGAAGTGAAGACAACTGTAAACAAGCTCCTCACAGTGGAGCTCCCTATACTAGGAGTGAGTGAGTGAGTTGGGTTTAACGTCGCTTATAACATTATTCCAGTTACATCACGGCGTGTCAGCCTACTGCAGGTCTAAGACGTTTACCACTACGGTGAAACCCACGAGCATGGGTATGGTGCAGACAAACCCCGAAACATAATCGGGGCGAACCGGAATTCGAACCTACAATTATAGGTTTCGTGCGTGCCCAAGGGACGCAACTCGCGGCGCCTTAGACAACTGGCCCACCCCTGCCCCCTATACTGGGAGGGTAACGAAGATGTGAAGTGTTGGGGCGGAGTTTGAACAGTAAACAACCACAAGATCAAGGTCACCGTCAAAGCTGATATTGTACGAACGCCTCAATTAATTTGCTGCCACATACAATCAACACGGCTGTCATTTAATATATAGTAATAATTAAATAAGTGGAGTAAGATTGAACACAGTTTTAATAAGGTAGCGCTTTCAACTCGTACCACGTACGAGTCTCATCATATATGATAATATATATATCGATCGCCGAATGACAAGGGCTACGCCACGTTTGTTTGTAAACACTGAAAGTAGTCCCTACGTGACCTTTGATATTTACATCTCTATCCGCAAATGACCCCAACGGATATCCGTAGACTTTATACTGCCGAGAACTGTACCAATTATATAATTATATATACGAGGCTGGGCAACGTCGCTCACGGAGATCCCTTGGAAGGGTGACCGTATTGCCAGCTTGACTCCCATGAGTTTCTAGGGCATCAGTCCTGCCCCACACTTAAACACATGTAGTATATGTGGAATCAACTTTGTCAAGACACTCAGCAGTGAATGGGTACCCGGTAGAATTCACAAACAGATTGGGTTGTATACTCCTCAGTGGCCACTGCTCTTTTGACTTGTTGACTGGGGTAATAACTGAACATGTTTCGAATTTTAAATCCCGATATGTTTTGGGGTTATTAAGACTTCTATTTTTTTAATAGCGGGGTGGCACATTTCCTCTATATAATTAACATCTAAAATAACACTTGAATACTTGAGTTGACTCGCAAACCCTCTGTTATATAAGCGAAGCAGGTGAATACGGGGATTGCTCCAAAAAGGAAAGTAACTCCGTTGTTGCTATTTGTGGAATGTATTAGGTAAATCTTTTATTTTCGGCGAAAAGTGAATTTACTATGATATTTAAGAATCCTCCATTCTCATTTGTCCGCCTGTGGCATCGAATGTTCGTTACACGACGATTTTGCTGACGATTTTGCTGATTGCGTCATTGCGAAAGAAAATATTTCTTTGAATACATTCCTTCTTAAACCCTGCCAGTAGGCAAATGTCAAATACTGGTAATGATTTTACGTAAAAAACGCGTTGCGGCATACTTCGCGGAACTTTATTGATTAAAATATTAAAAAACATAGTGTGGTGTATGATTTTAGGCTGACGAGTATTGTAATGAAATTGGCTGAAACTGGGAGAGCTTGATAGTTGGCGCTACGTTTTCACTTTTGTAGTGTCAAATTCCCAGTCAAAACTTACACTAAAGTTTCACTGTTACTGTAGTTTTATATAAAACATAAATACACTAGTTATAGTAACTACAGTTACTTTACTCACTCTTGTAATACTGTAGTTTTACTGTTGTCACCATAGTACTACCTTCCAAACTTGTAGTTTAACTTTAATGGTTTGTTGTTTTACGCCGCACTCAGCAATATTCCAGCTATATGACGGCGGCCTGTAAATAATTGAGTCTGGACCAGACAATCCAGTGATTGATATCATGATCATCGATCCGCGCAATTGGGATCTATGACATGCATCAACCGAGTAAGCGAGCCTGACCACCCGATCCCGTTAGTCGCCTTTTAAGGCAAGCATGGGTTGCTGAAGACCTATTCTACCCCGGATCTTCACGGGTCTTATAACTTCAGTGAGGTGCCCTTTAGTGTACTTACTGCAGTATTATTACTCCAATCTATATGTATTAGTTTGTACAGCTTATGCAATTAACCATGATTTTCGAAGTTTAAGTTTGTGAAATTACTGTGTACTAGCTAATGTACCCGTGAAGATCCGGGGTAGAATAGGTCTTCAGCAACCCATGCTTGCCGTAAAAGGTGACTATGCTTGTCGTAAAAGGCGAATAACGGGATCGGGTGGTCAGGCTGCAAAGAGCAATCCAGTACAGAATTAAAAGAAACATCCGCCACCAATCTTATAAACAATAATTTCAAACAAAGACATAACAAACAAGTCATTTCTTTCAATAGTTTTTAATTTATAAATGAAATATATCCTTTCACTATATTTCTGGTCAAATAATTTTATCAGACTAGACAGTATTGTTAGCTACTAACTTCATGCTGCTACTTAATAGCATGTTGTGGCAACAAGAGCCACATTTCAGCAAGTACAGATTAAAGTTCCAAGACACGTGATGTCCAATATTCATGGCACACAAAAATAGTCAAAAATATATATAAAATAAATATTAAAGGAGCATACAAATGAACTATAAATCGTGGAAGTGATTGAAAAGCCCACCTTTCAGAACAACTTCATTCAGACTTGTTTTGCTGAAATATTGCCGACGTGACTTTAATTAAACTCACTCACTCAGACTTGTTTTCACTTCTTGTATATAATCACATCACAGACATCTATATCATGTACATGTAGCAGGTACAATACCTTGGAACCAAGTAACTGCATTTAGCCTTCTCTGGCCAGCCATGTTGATGAAACATGTCACATATCTAAAACATCTACACTGAGCATGTTAAAATTGAAAGAAACACAGGTCATACCTTACAAATAAGATTGTACATGCATTTTTATTTAGTTTCAATATTATGGACTTCATCATTTCACCAGTCATGAAAATGATTTATACTGAGTACATTTAGCAAACAAATCTTTCAAGAGAACCATGAACATGATTAAAAATACAACTTTGACTTTTGAGCACTACATTGAGCCTTGAGCAGCTCTCTTCACCTCTCCAACAGGCTTACTGAAATTACAAAAAAGGTAGCTTGATCATTTTTATCATGTCATTGCAACCTTTTACTGCAAAAACTGTACTCTTGAAGCATACACAGCGACTATGTCATTTGTTATATGCCCAGAGCTCACCATTTTAAACAGATTTTCTTCAACATAAATGTCACGCATTTGTTCTTGATACTGACTTCCCACATTTATTTGTTTCACAAGGACAACGGGTTCTTTCACAGTGTCATTATTAACAATCTTTTGAACCAATCCATACTTGTAGGTTACACCAGCTAAATAACCACGTGACTTGTCCTGCTGTTCCTCTCTCGTATATTCTTCGCTGCATGCATTGACATGATTTATACGAATTCTAGCATACACAGTCCATCCATCATCCTGGAACTGTTCTCGTTCCAATAGCTCATCCATTGCAACATATTCTGCAAGGGAAAGTGTGTATACTGCTCGTTTCTTGCTATACAGTATATGGTGTATTGTCATTAGGTCTGTGCTTACACACATTGAAGTAAAGTGTTTTCACATTTTCATCTGCTTCTTCAATCTGGCTATCACACTGTTTCAGGTATTGTCTGACCAGAAATTTTCATGATCTGTAACTAAATTCCAGTCGTCCCATGTCTCAAGTACTGCAGATGCCCGCTAGCATCCTCAAAGACAAACGCTGAGAAACCCCATAGGGGCCCCAAAGGTTGCAATACTGAACCAGAGTGGTGAGTAAATGGGTATTATAGGTCGTATGTTCTCTCCCATACAGCATGTCTGTGTCATTTACAAATTTCAGCAGGGCCAACTCTGCTTGATGCATTTCCCTTTCATTAATGTGCTTCTTGGGGAGAATGTGCATGGCAAAACTGAGGAGCATGAAATGACGAACATAACTGTTTGGCAACAAATCTGCAAGCAATAATGGACAGTAAAAAAGACGAACATTGCGAAATTCTGTAGCTTTCCAATTTCTTCGTTCCGTCACTGAACGAGTCATTCTGTGTATCGCAGATCCTGGTTTCAATGATAATAGCTTCTGGTCAAAATCAGCACAGCATGAAAAACCTTCGAACAACGCCCAGATACACGGCTTGCATGGCGTCTAGGGGCATTGATTGGACAATGTCAAATCTGGGATATAATAGCCATCATTTACTGGCCCCTTTTATGCCCATTATATCAGTAATCTGATCATAAGCTTGTGCCAACATATCTGCATACAAAACGACATCGTCTTGTTTTCGTTAGGAGTGGGTAAGTTCGAGTCCTGTTAAACACCAGCCCAGGATGTTCACAATATCCACATCCATGTTTGCCATTATGAAGCTTAATGTGTTGTAAGCAGACTCTGGCAGGGCTGTCACAAATTCCCAAAATGAGTGAAAGCTTGACAAGTATTTCTTGTCCCTCTGGTAGACAAATCTTCATTCCATCTGACTGCAAATTTGTTATTTCCTCAAGCAGTGATTCCAAATAGGTATCCGGGTCTGGTTTGGATCCATACCAAAGAGTGTGAAGTAACATGAACTGTGTTTCGTAACAGGCAACTCATTGATCAGAAGAAAAAGTGGCCACAAAGACGAACTTTGCATACTTTTGAACACCTGTGCACCAGCAAAACCGAAAGTGAGAGGTAAATGTACTTGCCTTGCGTGAATGGATGGAGTCTTCTATGCATGGCGCCACCTTTAATGTCTGTCATATCCTCCTTGGAAACAAAGGATAGAAAATATGCTGCTTCTGTCATATGATGCTTTGCAATAGAACCCACACAAGCAATAAGGCTTCTTTTCTTTTCATAGTAGTTTCCATATGAATCGGCTTGTCTTCTTCAGCAAGAACCTGAAATTATATACAACAAGTATTTGTCACAGAGTGACGAAATATCCCCCGCCATATACACCATAGTACCAAATATTAAGACAATCCAGCGATTAGTTCTTGAGATATTGTGGCAACACCGTTTTCCAACTCCAAAAACAGATTTGCCTGCTGTGACCTTGAAAATGGGGTCAAGGTCACCAAATCTGACAGGTGTATGCGGTGTCTGTATATACACTATAGTTCCAAATATGAAGACAATCCAGCGATTAGTTCTTGAGATATCGCGGCAACACCGTTTTCTAACTCCAAAAGCAGATTTGCCTGCTGTGACCTTGAAAATGGGGTCAAGGTCACCAAAACCGACTGGTGTCTGCGGTGTCTGTATATACACCATAGTTCCAAATATGAAGACAATCGAGAGGTTTAGTTCTTGAGATATCGCGGCAACACCGTTTTCCAACTCTAAAAGCAGATTTGTCTGCTGTGACCTTGAAAATGGGATCAAGGTCACCAAAACCGACTGGTGTCTGCGGAGTCTGTATATACACCATAGTTCCAAATATGAAGACAATCCAGGGTTTAGTTCTTGAGATATCGCGGCAACAAACAGGTGGGACGTACGGACGGACGGTCGTGAATACTATATCCCCCGCTTCGCGCTTTCGCGCGGCGGGGGATAACAAGCGTATAGTTGACAAAGTCATCTATATCCCCCGCCCATTTTAACACGTTATGGTCCCAAACCAGGTAACTTACATTCATTATATATCATCTCATACACCATCCATATATATGTATCATTCATTTTCATTTATCATATTTCACGTGACACAGAGTGCTTTGTTAGCCCAGTTTTACAACACATCCAGCTGCATCAAGGAACTGGAGAGGAGACTTGATACCAAGTCGAAGCTGCTCCTGTAGCCTTTCTAGTCTCTGGTTGATCTCTAGATATATTCTCTTGCGGGGTTGTGGAGGGGCGCCATGGAGATACTGAGCAAGCTTGTTTCTTTCCGTCTTCTCTAGTCTCTGGATCACTTTGATGAAGGCAAAAATGTTCGGATGGGCTCTCTGGACGACCTTGTTAAGATGACAATGCCACTCTTCTAGATGATTGCTGGTTCTGGGGCCAATGTTGTCGTGATGATTCCATAATCCCAACCGAAACTGAGCATGGCCATCAATCCAGGTGTTGGTCATGTAGTCATGGAACTGCACTGCTTGTGGTATCTCTGGAGCACTGTCCATGACACCTACGAATGTATCCTGCACCAGGTTGACAGGAAGAAGTGGAAATGCGGCTGCACGACGAACCCAGGCGTTAACTTCAGGATTCTGTTGAAAGAGAGCACTGAAATATAGTCTTTGCACCTTCCTCCAAAGGGCCTGGGAGTAATGAAAGAAGCACCCTCTAACATCACAGTCTGGAAACAATGTCTCTATTGCCCTAATAGCTGCAACTTCAAAGTCCGTCTGGATTATTTGGGTCTTTAGTGGGGAACCTGTTGACTGGTGGACAGCATCCTTGAGAAGACGGAACAGACGCTCGTAAGTCTGGCGCTGGCGATTTGGCAGAAGGAAGAACACTATGTGTGTCATCTTGGTACCTACGAGTCCATGAATGACATCCAACTGATCCCAAAGCGGAGGGCAGCTGTAGAATGTCCTATCCATGTACAGAGTGTCTATCTCTTGGAGTAGGTGAAGGCGGTCACTGGTGGCAAAACACAGAATCTTGTCTTCATCTCCGTCATCTATACCGAGAAAGGGCTCTCAACAAACCAACAACAATTGCGTGGATCGATGCTCATGATATTAATCACTGGATTGTCTTGTCCAGACTCGATTATTTACAGACCGCCGTCATATAGCTGGAATATTGCTGAGTGCGGCGTTAAACAACCAACCAACCATAATGATTACAAAAGTGACAAAAATCACTTGATAATCTGAGAGCAAACTCTGCATTGAGCCCGGCCAACTCGCTACCGTTAATATCCATCATGGCCATGAAAACCAGGTCTCTGTTGGTTTGTGCTGAAAGTTTGTTAATTATTTCGACAATGAAAAACAAAAATATACATACACACCCTCCCCTCAAAAGTAACCAGGTTTTGGATTGGAAGGTAGACTCTAATTCGAACACTGTGATATTCATAATTTTACTGATAACCAAACAAACAAAAAGAAAAACACTCTTGATTTTTCAGATACATGTGATTTTAACTAAAGAACTTTCTTATATACAGTGCTGTCGGCTAATACTGCGCACCTAAGCCTAATAGAACTGATTTTGTTCACAAGAATGGAACAAAATCCTAATTTTTTTGATAAAATATTTAAATAGCATCTGGTTGATGGCATAATTACAATTTACAAGTATTTATGTGTGTAAAATTTGAGAAATCTCCAACAAAACAAAGGCACCCGTTGTTTTCAAGTGTTGGCTAATCCTGCGCAGGTCAACGAAATATTGCCTGCTTATTCCTTATTTATTTAATATTACTGGTCAAGGTTGTATTATATCAAAGAAGAAAACATTTAAAGATGGATATCTGATGTTCAATATATTTTTTAAAATTCTATAATTTGCGTAATCGGTCTTCATCGTCACCACCCTTATCGCCATGAAGCAAAATTAGGTTAGACGGTCTTCCAGATCGTAATTTTATCCATCCGATTTTCCATTTTGATAAATTTACCTTATTATAATACAGAATTATAATGTCAAATAATTTTGCTTGTAAATCATTATTAACGCGAAAATATCAAAACGCAGCATTATCCGACACGGCTGTATTATGTACTCGTCTTGCATTCGAACAACATTGGATTCCTTAGCAATGTTAGCAATGATAATAAGGCAGTCGTCGAAAGAAAATCTGCCAAATATGCATCAGATATTTCGGTAATCTGAGAAAGAACTATCAACCATCAGCTGATTTTTCGAGAATCGAACGGAGGTTTGGTTTTGGTTTGGTTTGTTGTTTAACGTCGCACTCATCAATATTCCAGCTATATGACGGCGGTCTGTAAATAATCGAGTCTGGACCACGCAATCCATTGATTTATATCATGAGCATGGATCCGCGCAATTGGGATCGATGACATGCATCAACCAAGTAAGCCAGCCTGACCACCCGATCCCGTTAGTCTCCTTTTACGACAAGCATAGTCACCTTTTACGGCAAGCATGGGTTGCTGAAGACCTATTCTACCCCTGAATCTTTAACGGAGGTATCTTACCGGCTGAAATTCCGTCACTAAGCCTAACTGACGATAGTAAGTGCTTGAAGGTATTATCGACTTTTCTGTTTTATTCAAATATTGTTTGTAAGTGCGTTTTGGCATTAAACCCGTTACGAGTTACGTAACATAAGAATATAAAAGAAGCAGGTAAAGCACACTTCGTTGCAGAATCAACTTTCCCCCCATCCTAGCTGTATTGCTTCGATGTGGCGGAACTGGAAATTATACTTGTGCATGCGCAATCGCCGGATCTCATGCCAGACGAGAAACGAGATCTGACTTTGGTGCCACGAACCAGGATGGTAAATCTAGTGGGGCCTTTACACAGGATGGCGACCTTTGTGCCTCCCGTGTGCGACCATAAAATTTGCCAGGTCGTCGTTGGAGGCTCAAAGGAGGCAGAATGGTTGCTTAGGTCATTCCAAGGTGGTACACAGGAGGTTCAGACATCGCCATGAACGCCGTCAATTTAACATGCTCAAAACAGTCGCAAAAAGGTCGCCGAGGGGGTTGATTTCTCAAAGGTGGCAGAAGGGAGGCACAAGCATTGCCGCTGTTGCAGAATGAAGGCACAGTGGTCGCCCAATGGTCGCCAGGAAACCGATGCTTTTTGCTGAAATATTTTCCCGTCAACCATGGGCGACGCTTCTGCCTCCCTAGTGCCTCCTTTGGGCGATCAACAGCGTGCATTGAACGATGACATTGGCGACCGCCGTGCCTCCACTCGGCGACCACGGCAACCCTTCAGACACCATGGCAATGCTTCTTCCTCTTTTCTGCCTCCTTTGAGCTACCTGTAGTGCCTCCTCAGCCTGCCTATAAATAGAGTGCGTGTACCTGCAGTGTTTCATTGTGGTTGCAACTCGAGCACTTACTGCTGATCAACTGCTGGAGCAGTTACATAGAAACATGATTTTCTAGGTTTAGGCGACCATTGCGCGTCCTGGCCAGTTTTTGATCGCCCAAAGGTGGCACAAAGGTCGCACTTGGACGAAAGGGACGAAACAGAAATTCACAAGGGCCAAGCGACCAAGAAGTCGGAAGTTGGAACCTTCGTCTCGTGTTTCTTTACAGAAGAAAGAAAATATGGCGTGGTAAAAATTGACATGATTAGAGATCTCTACGAACTTGCCTCACAAGATCCTACACTGGAACCCTAGATGGGCCTTTCGTCCACAGACTTGTGGACTGTCGACTGGCCTGATAGGAAAGGCGGGACCTCGAGAACTCTGAAGTGCCATGCAATTCTTGTTGAACATTCAGGTATGTGTAATGTGTAATATAATGGGATTACCATGTTAGCCCATCGTCAGTAAGCATTTAACAGTAAGGGACACCCTCAAAAACCGCTATAAAAGCTGAAATAAGCTATACTTGGATAGCTGAAAACAGCTACATGACTGAGCAAATGTAAATTGTGAAGTAATTAATCATAGTCGCACTGCGACTTTGTTTGGGTCCACTTTATATTTTGAGTGACCGGTTTTCGATCACTAGATGATTATCGTCGGGCCCATTATTTAATTTCACGGCAAACAAAAAAAATCCTGTTTTGCAGCTTTATCCCAATTGAGACTTCAAAATGATTTACCTATGACCATATGCAAAACCTGTCAGAGAAAAATTTATTTTACTCTAAAAAAGGTATTAGAAAACCCTTCAGTCGTCGGCGATGTATGCCATTCCCGGTACAACTCTTGCTCGATGTGTAGAAATTGGACCAAGTTACATGATCGCAAGTAAAGACAGTAATTTAATATATCTACTTACATCCATAGAGGTTATCACGCGAGTGTGTTTGGGGATGGTAAATATCCTGCATTAGGAATAAACATTGTATTTAGCGAGCCTTGGCGAGCTAAATACACAGTGTTTATTCCTAATACAGGATATTTACCATCCCCAAACACACAAGCGTGATAACCTCTTTATCATATAATGTCATGCTTTAATTCTGTGCTTTAAAATCGCTATCCCTCTCTCACAAACATTACCGAAACATTGCGAGTTTTCCTGGAATGCGCGCATTAATATTTATTACGTCACAGGGTAAGTGATGTGTCAGTCGGACAGTGACAGTAGCCAATATAGTTCCAACTGAAATCTGTTTCTTATACAGTGGCGAAGCAACATATACGCAAAACAACAGTTGTTTTTAATTGTCTTTCGCGGCAATCCATCGGTCTGTCCGCTAGAGTAACTGCCCTTTGTCAAAGGGAAGCTACTCTAACCCTAGTCTATGAGACGTCACGGGCACGGTCAGACGTTGTTGACAGTCGGTCTGTCCTGTCATAACAGTCAGATGTACACACAGCGACAAAACCAAACAAGGTAACAATTCAAACATATTATGGCCAAATCCAACTATTTTAATTTGTGGCGAAGGTTTCAAGTCGCAGAGGTCTACAAGCACAGATATTGCTACTGATCCCGCTTGGCTAGGCCTCGCGCCCTCGCAAAATTGTTTCGAAATTTATACCTCCAAAGTAGCCAAAACTTATAAAATGCCTTAGCTACGTCACAGTTAGACACTGATTTTCAGTATATTAGACTGTTCTTTTGATAATGATAGCAATTATCCCTGTTGTTTATCCAGATTCCCGATGGTTAATTTTGACTCGATCGCCGAATGACGAGGACGACGCCATGTTTGTTTATAAACAGTGAAAGTAGTCCTACTTGACCTTTGCTATTTGCATCTCTATCCGCATATGACCCCAACGGATATCGTTTTTATCCGTTGGCTTTATCCTGCCGAGAAACCTGCCCATTATATGATAAAGTTATATATTATTGGAAGGCTTATTTACAAAATTCATTCAGTCACGGACAATAATTAAATAATTTGAATACACACTTTCGCGATCTATTTTTTCATTTTCCGCCGTAGTCTTCTCGATCTTTCTGAGCCACAGATCTTATATGATCGAATCAAATAGATCCTCCTACGGAAGAAATATTATTGAAAATCAGTATTTATCGCGTATTTGGTTTTAAATATTGCTGTGTAACAATTAGGTCACGCAGGTGTGCCGACTGATAAGGATCTAACGGTTCATTCGCGTTACGCCGACTTTCAGAAAAAAAATATTCGCGTTACGCCGACCAGCGGTTTTTCTTTGATGCTATATGTGAGGTGTGAGAATTACGGGAAAATCTTTGAAACAGGAAGCTAGGCGGTTACACATCCAACAAGGAAATCGAGGTTTTAAGGCGAGTTGTAGGTGGCTGAGGAAAGTTTTGAAAAGAAATGGTATTTCATTCAGACGAAAAACGCATGTGGCTAAAAAAATGCAGAAGTTTGGATGATAGAATGCAGGGCTTTCTCAGTTTTGTTATTAAAATGAGAA